TAATGCTTTATATAATTTTTGTTGTTGTAATAGTATTGCTATTGGACAAGAAGGCGGTATAGCACCACTTATAGCATTGGCAAGAGTTGAAGCTGAGGTAATTTTCGATTTGCTAAAAGAAATATATAATTTTTAGTTGTTTTTTTTTTGGATTTGTTTTCATTAAAAAAAAAACCCCCGCTTTTTGATTCGGGTTTGTTTATGAATTTCGTTGTTTGAAATTAAGGGAGGGAATTAAATTCACAAATATGGGAAAGCAAGGACCTTGTTATTACTGTGGTGTTACCAGTGAGTTTAATTTTTTTTGCTTATAAGAGTGTTTGTGTAGGCAAGAAAAGATTGAGTCTTTGTGATTGTTTCCTGTTGGGGTTGTTCTTGTTTGCTGTAAATGGATGCCTATGATTAGATTATGTATTGAATTATGGACCTGGAAATCAATAGGTTGCTGTTATTGGACAATGAAGAATAATGGATAGTATGTGTTGTTGCTCACCTTATTCCAGTTGTTTTTTGGTGGTTTTGATTGTGTTGTTAATGTGTTATAGAGCTACGGCTTCACATAAACTGTGGGTTTCAACAATGGGTCTTAGTTTTAAAGTTGAATTCAACAAGCTTAAATGCAATTTAAATGTTTTGCTAAATGTATTGCCTATACCTGTACAGCAATTCATGTTTTGAATTCATCCTGCACTGCAATTTATGTTTTTCAACCTCCAGGGAATGGGGCTTAACCCATAGAGATACAAGTTTCTTCTAGTAGTTCATGCCTTCAGGGCAATGAACAAAGAAACTTGGGAAAAGAAGATGGAGGCTTATAAGAAGTATGAATTTTATGAGGCGGAGATATTCAAAGCTTTTGAAGTTATATACAGAAAGATTGGCTCTTCTCTATTGATCATGACCTGCATATGAAGAGAGAGCCAGATACTCTTTTATCTCTTTTATCTGCCAAAGTGTACATTTCACCATTTTTGCCTAGAATATTGGTTGTTAATGGATGACATTTTGGCTTTCACACAACCAAGATGTAACTAAAGTGACTCAATTTAATTAAATGGTTGCTTTCTTGCCAACAATTCATTACATGTGTAATGTGTTTAAATCAATTGCCTCCAAAAGTTGGTTTTCTTCTCATTGTATAGAAGTATCAGAATTCGTGTGGTTCCAGTGTGATATTGCCTTTTCATCTATTTGAACCCATTGCATAATATGTGATTCATTTGCACACACCACAAAGCGTAAATGCACACGCCCCATCATCATTACGCACACGATTCTCCATACCAACAATTAAACATCTGCTACCAAAATGAATTTACCCAACACGCACTAACCGAATCCACAACACACACAGACCACTACATGAATACGCACACTCCATAATTAAAAACGCACAGACCCCCCATACTTCTACCCATTCAGTAATTTTCTTCCATATATGATCAAACCACATGCATTCGACCATATCCCCAATAATAACTTAGCTCATTGGATCTCGAATTACAGGAAAAACATTTTACACTTCCAATTCACCAAAACGCACACGCCACAACAGTAACACGCACACACCATTACAAGTAGACACATAGACCACAATTCCAAACGCACAGACCCGCAATACTACTCCTGTGACGCCCAAAAATAACAAACCACTTCTACCTATTTAGTTAATTTCTTCCATATCCGGGCAAACAACATACATTCAACCATACCCCTAATAATAACTTAACTCCTTGGATCTCGAATTACAGGAAAAACATTTTACACCTCCAATTCACCCAAACACACACGCCACAACAGTAACACGCACACACTATAACAAGCAGACGTACAGACCACAATCCCAAATGCACAGACCCCAACACTACTCCCGTGACGCCCAAACAATAACAAACCACTTCTACCCATTTAGTTAATTTATTCCATATTCGAGCAAACAACATGCATTCAACCATACCCCTAATAATTCTTTAACTCCTTGGATGTCGAATTACAGGAACACGCACAGGCCATTACAAGACGCACAGACCCCAAACACTACAGCACTAAATTTTCGTACTACTACTACATGTTCGTATCTCATCCACAGATACTTTATATTTGTTACCATTTTTATTCAATCTAACTAGTATTTTTTTATGCGCGATGCGCAAAAAATAGGTGCCCAATATTAATACATTATATTAAAATTTTAAATTTATTTAGATTTTAGAATATATATATATATATATATATATATATATATATATATATATATATATATATATATATATATATAGAGAGAGAGAGAGAGGAGTTCCGGTGCGATGAGACCCTCCCGTGCGGTCGTGCGACGATTTTCAGAATACACCAATAGTTAAGTAAATATACACCATCAATGTTAGAAAATTCACTACAAAAACACACACAAATTAAGTACTCATCGCAAAAAACACACCATTAGTGATAGGGAGTTATATGATGTATTTTTTTTTTTTATTTTTTATTTTTTTGCTCTGTTGTGTATTTTTGCATTTCATTGTTGTGTGTTTCTCTTACAGACTTACACTATTGGTGCATATTGTTAACATTGTTGGTGTATTCTGAAAACTGCCGCACGACCACACAAGAGGTTCTCGTCGCATTTGAACTTTTTCATATATATATATATATATATTATAATAATAACAATAACACTAACACTAACACTAATAATAATAATAATAATAATAACAATAATTAATAATAACACTAACACTAATAATAATAATAATAATAATAATAATAATAATAATAATAATAATAACAATAATTAATAATATTAATAACATAAATTAATAAGTAAGTAAATATATATATATATATATATATATATATATATATATATATATATATATATATATATATATATATATATATATATATATATATATATAGGCTTTGGATCTGGTGCACCCCCCTAATAGATGAGCCCATGAGGCCTAATAATACCCATTGATTAGATTCCCATCTATGGTTGAGATTAAAAGATATATTTTCAGTTATTATCTATGGTAAGGTTAGATTAGTAAATTGGTTAGCTGATTTAATTAATGAATTAATTTAAAAGGAATATGAATCATCTTTTGATGCTTTTGATGATGGAAATTAAATGATTGTATCTTGAAAAGGATTAAAAGAATGAAATAACGTTAACAATGGTAGATGTGTGAAGGCAGGAACAACACTTTCGGACTTGCAGCAAATGGACAGTAGCAGTACAGGTAAGTGCATATACACGCCTAAGTCTGTGCATTTCCATGATTTCTCGAAACGGTTTACGGCTGAACAAGGGTAGTCGATGACCGACGATATTTGTGAGCGTTAAGGACGACCCGCCTGTGCGTACGCCGTTAGAACCTAGTAGGCAAGTTAGGCTGGGGTTGTGGGTTGTTCGATACCCGACTATCCAACGGCCTAAGCGTAAAGATACGTTGGCCAGTGCATGCGCCGTACTGCCTAATAGACAAAATCGCCTGTGTCCGAGGTGTTTTTTTTTATTATTTTTTTGGTTTCCACCAGTCCGTGCGTAAACACTGTTATGTCTGTGCATATACCTGCTTTTGTCGAATGGTTATTACCGGAACGCCGGGGTGCATTTGAGTGCGTCGGTTTTTTAATTACCTTACTTTTGAGTGGCAGGTGCGCCAACTACGGGGGGCGATGTCGACGAAGAACATTGTTATATGAATATATCCCCGAGTGGAACGAAGATTTGGTTGACGGCTTGCGACACATCCATAAAACCATTTGTTGGGCAATTGTTTGCAACATTAGACGAAGGTGTTGAGTTCTATAACAATTACGCCTCTGTCGCAGGCTTTGATGTGCGCCGCAGTTCAGACAAAAAGAACAAGTACAACATTATCTTAAGGAAGAAACTGGTTTGTTCACGTGAAGGTTACAAAGCGGGGAAAAAATCGGATCCACCAGAAACGGTAATTGGAAAAAAGACCAAACGTCGTAGGCCATCTAACCGAGTCGGGTGCATGGCAAAGATTGTGTTCAAAATAGACGGTGTGGGGAGGTATTTAGTCACGACATTCGAAGAGGGGCACGCACACTGTTTGTGCGATGATAGCTATAAACCGTTCTTGAAAGTAAATAGGAAATTGGATGTTGGTCACCAACAGTTCATAACAAATTGCGCAAAGGTGAATGTGGGCTCGAGCAAAAGCTTTGAAATATACGCAGAGGTTGTGGGTGGAACAGAAAACGTTGGAGCAACACAACAAGATTTCAAAAATTACCGACGGGAAGTCTTGGCATACATGCACGGAGGAGACTGCCAAATGGTAATATCCAAATACCTGGATATCAAGGCTGACTACCCTGACATGTACTTCGAGTACGAAGCAAACCATAACGACCAATTGATACGGATTTTTTGGTCGGATGGTGTGGCGCGGAAACATTACAGTGCGTTTGGAGATGTTGTGTCCTTCGATGCGACGTACAAGACTAACCGGTAAGAAATTCTGAACCTTGTATAACTTTTTCTATATGCGGACACCAGAAATATGCGAATTAATGTTACTGTGTGTGTGTGTATATATTTGACCCTCGATATTTAATAGCACTGATGATAGCGTACTAATCACAGAGTGTGTGCGTTTTCGCTGATACCCATTGATATCAGAAATTAATTCAGAAAGCTATATTTTCTTCATGTGCGCCACTGTAAAAATGTGTGTATGTGTGTAGTGTCCGATAGTATAATTAAATGTTCAGCAGTGGTGGGTGCATAATGTTGTACAAGTTTGTGCATTCTCCTTAACATGTTTTACAAATACCATGATACCGAGTCACGCTAACTTTTATATTGAAATAAACTAACACCATGATGTCCCAGGTACGGCCTCGTGTTTGTCCCATTTACCGGGATCGACAACCATAAGAAATGCGTGACATTTGGAGCAGCCCTGATTGATCGGGAGGACGTGGACTCGTACATTTGGGTATTAAAGAACTTCAAAAACGCAATGGGCAGCCCCCCCGCAATCACTGTAACTGATCAAGATCCGGCGATGAAAGTTGCAATTGCACAGGAATTCCCTGAAACGCGTCATCGGTACTGCATGTGGCATATAATGACAAAGGTGGGTGATAAAGTGGGCATTGACCTAGCGAGGAACGAAGAGTTTAGACGGGAGCTAAATACTGTAGTATGGAACGACGCCTCAACTACTGCAAATTTCGAGCATGCATGGAAAGCTGTAATGGAAAAATATGCCATACCTGAAAATTCGTGGCTGAAACATATGTATGATGAGCGTGCGTCATGGGGTCCTGCGTGTTTTGAAGGAGTTTTTATGGGCGGATTACTACGTACGACATCCCGGTCCGAGGCAGAGAATAGAATTTTCAGAAGCAATACTAACAAGCACCTTTGCCTTACAGAATTCTTCATCCGATTTGAGAGTACAGTGCGAAAGCAACGGATCACGCACGCACATCTTAGTGGTGCCAGCAACGCATAGACTCCCCCTTTCAAAACACCACTGGGAATTGAACGACATGCATCCGAACTGTACACACTAACAGTTTTTTATGATGTCCAGGAGGAAATTATTGCAGGTTGTTTTGAATGCCGGGTAAGAGCAGTGACAATCGGTGACGGCATCAAGACTTATGAGGTGGATGATAAGCGCGGGACACAGTACGGTTTGACCGTTGAGGATGTGACAATGATTACGCACTGCCCCTGTCGAATGTATACAAGGATTGGTCTATTGTGTCGACACGCTTTTGCAGTGCTAATATACGAGAGGGTTGATACCATACCGCCGCAACAGATCACCCCGCGATGGACACGCAACGCAATAACAGAATATGAAGATGAACTGAGGAAGTATGGATATGGAGGGGCCACAACGGGTAATGAAGCATCAGATGTAATAAACACGTTCTACAGGTGTTTGGGGATTGCCAAGGGGGACAGTTTAAAATTGCAACAAATGTGTTCTGTTCTATCGGATATGGAGACAACTTGGTGCGGGCACGAAGAAGTCCAAGTGGATGCAGCTAGTGGGAAACAAGCGATCATGAAGTCTTACTGTGGCGTACCCGCACCTGAGACGATTACTGTGCACCAACCACCGGTGACAAGCAACAAAGGGTCGGGTAAACGGATGAGGTCTGCTAAAGAGCTGGCAATGAAGGAGCAAAACAGGAAGAAGCGCACGTGCAAAACTTGTGGCATGGCAGATGGGCATAACAGTAGAAGCTGCCCGCAGAAGTAGACGTGTTATTAGCTATAGCATGCAATTCTGGAAGTTTTTTGTGAGATCGTTTATTCTGAAACTCGTGCACCTTTTTGTATGTTTTTATCCAGCATTCCCATTTTTTTGAGGAAAATGTTACCAGGGAAGCTTTTATAATATGCATATCTTGTTTGACCAAGTCTGTAGGCATTAAGCTTTTTTCCCAGCATTCCCATTTTATAGTTGGCAGTTCCGTATCTCCCATCTGGATTTACCTGATTAGGACTTAGAAGTTGTGATGTGCTGACTTTTTTTAATGCCTGATTTTTTATGATGTAGTAAAACAAATGTATAACACAAATGTCTGGACTGCTCCGCTACCATATATGCGTTAGTACGCATAGATTGCATGTATGGAATGCGTTGTAGTCGATAGGTACGTGCTTATATGCGTAACGAAAATGTCATGTGCGAAGGAAGTATAAATTGGCTGCGTAATACGGTTATGATTGTTGACAGCATATTAGTCATATGATTGGGTGGCAGATTTAGTACAAACAAATTGTGTGTTTGTTTCGAGCAGTCGATGCACCGTTAAATTAATCTTTTCTTTGGTGCATTAACGTAGTTAGTGCGTTTATATGTATGAAATGTCGTTGGTCTACTATGCACTGATCAAATCACAAAAATAATGTAATGGAAATACGTATAATATTTGTAATGGAAATCTGGTCTATTCCAAATCATAACAGAAATACCAAAACAATACATAAAGTTGCTAGTAACATAAGATTGACTATGCACTTGCCAGTAAATGCAATAAACTTATCTAACCTAATGCAATTGATCTGGACTGCCGAGTACCGTAATATGAAAATGCACATGATATGCACTTGCTAAGAATGCAATAAAAATATAATACAAGGCAACTCGCACAGACACTAACATTTAAACGCACAAACGACGCAATAAAAATATAGTAACATATATATGATACGCACTAACATAAGTTAAAGTAACCTTTTATCTAGCAAATGCACTAACATTGAAGCTGATACGCACTTATCCATTAATATGCACTGACATAAAATTATGCATTTTACTATATACGCATCGTAATATGAAAATGCACATGCTATTTAATATGCTACTGCACATAGCTCGTATTCGCACATACTATATAGTAAAATGCAGACACAATGTATATGTATGCACATACGCATAACAGAAATACCAAAACAGAAATCTGGTCTATTCCAAATCCTAACAGAAATACCAAAACAATACATAAAGTTAGAGATGTAATAATAAACGCAATGTATATAATAGAGGTGTTCAACGAGACGGAACAATTGATCTCATGGCGGAGTTGAAATTCGTTCGACGATGGGTGTTGTTCTGAAACAGAAGGATTTCGGACATATAGCGTTTGCGTAAAGCAAGCAATGCACGTGCGTCACCCCCGCAAAGACCACAATCCCATGACGCATAGGGCTGTCCAGCATAAGACTCCATGTGTCGCATCGCGAACACACCGCAATCTACTTTGTTCTTCGCATCGCGACATGATAGGCGAACCCTACGAGGTATGAACGTAGTGACCTTCATAAACTGATCTGTGGCCTCCACATCCTCCAGGAAAACGGTAAAAAACTCATGCTACACAAATGACATTGTGTTAATAAATAATACATGTGTCTACACACTGGTGGTTTTGACTAGACATGTGTATATTAAATGTACAATTAGAACCAAATTGTTAATCAAGCATACCAGCAGGTCAGGTATGTGAAGATATTTGTCTAGTGAGAGGCCACCAACAGAAGAGTTATCTAACACATCGAAACGCATGCGTCTAAAATCCACTACAATAACGTAGTAGTGACCAGCTTGAAGTATTGGAAATATGAACTGCAACGCAAGAAAGTTAATCACAACCGAATGTGGATAAAAACAAGGACAAAAAATAAACACTAACCAGATCAATGTCGCCCCATGAGTTAAACGGAGACGTGTTCAACTCCTCGACTATGCAATCCGTAAACCACTGCAGACGCCGACCACGTGGTGCAGAAACATTTACAACTGTGTTCAACTGATTCATGCGAATACAACCTAAGTCAACACCACTAACCAAGACATAACAAAACCTGAACTAAAAAACAATAGTCCGTTAACTCACCGTAGTCGTAAGCGACACCAATAGCCTCGAGGGTGACCCACGAGGCCTCAATATCTCCTTAAAATTCAACACACATGCCCAGGCATTTATTATGCCCACAAGCACTTCCTGACCTTCAAGCAGTGAATGAAATTCTTCCCTCCGTGCAGATCGGCCACTAAATAGAAACAACTCCTCATCCCTGTCAATGAACAGGCCACGGGCGGTTAGAACCCACTAAAGGGGGGGATTAATGAAACGAAAGTAGGCTGCAAAAAGGGATGTAATACATGTCGCTAAGTCTAGATCTAGCAACCCAATCATAGATTGCCTGCGGATCGGGTGCGTTGACACTTAGAGCGTTCGCGGCACGTGCGCGTGTCCGGTGATCGTATGAATTCAAGTCAAGCGTTCTCAATGCCGGTATGTTGCTAGTTGTTTGTCGCGGCTGCTTCACGGGCGCAAGACACCGCGGTGTGTTACATACAACCATAGGCGGGTTCAGTACTGGTATACATTGCTATGAAACCAAAAGAATACAAGTAAGCCTCAGGGTATATAAACCCAGTTCCTACAAATGAACGGACAACATTTACACAAACTGCAGCAAAATGAAAACGTACCTCCATCGGAGTCACCTTAGTTGCACTCTCCCCAGGAACACCATCGCGCAAGGTCCTTTTGTTGCCCCCGCCAATACGTACTCCCAGGCTAAGTGATGAAGGCTTACGGACATCTGATACTTGGTGATCACGGGCCTACATACATAGGGGAAAATACGGCTATGGAAATTAAAACAACCAGTCCCTAACGCACCAGTGACAATCTGTGCGCCGCACATACCACGTTTGTGTATCGCACCACCCCGGCGTTAAAGCATAATGCGCACATACCCAATATGGGTGACGCATCCCATTAAAATGAAAACGTACCTCTACCGGAGTCACCTTCGTTGCACTCCCCCCAGGAACACCATCGTGCCGGGGCCTTTTGTGACCCCCCGCAATACGTACTCCCAAGCTAAGTGGTGAATTTTTACGGATAGCTGATACTTGGTGATCACGGACCTACATACGTAGAGTAACATCAGGCTTTAGAAATTAAAACAACCAGTTCCCTACCGCACAATGAAATCAGTGGGCCGCACATACTCCATATGTGTGCCGCAAAAAACCCCGCAACTAATACGCACATACCCAATGTGGGTGACGCATTGCAGCCAGTCTAATGTTATTACGCACCTGCCAGCACCCCCCTCCCAAACGCTTACTCAATCACGTTATATCGCACGCCATGCAATACCCACAATGTAAACTCGATGTGTGAATAAAATCGATGTTTGTACTTACTGAACCACATGGGGCGGATGACCAACCACGAGGCACGACATTTGGCGTACGTACGTCATATTCACGGACAATAGCATCCACCACCTCCCAACATTGGGTTGGCAGATCTTGAGACAATCCAAATCCCACCGGAGACGTATCCTGAGTCAACCCAAGACTAAACGAGGGAATGTCCGCGTCAGCCTATGGGGCGACAATAAACCAGTCACAAACTAAAATACTCAATCATTAACATACAAAATATAAACACACATGAAATATTAACACAAAAATACATCCATCCTGCCAACATAGTTAAACATACATGCATCACCGTGCATACCCCGGTACAGTTCAAAAGGGCAACAAGATACCTACGGGTAAAATAGCACAAAAAAAGGACATTCTAGAACCATAACTGAATTAAACAACAGGCTAAAAACGCCTAGCCTTTCTGCGCCGACGTACTACCTTACTTACGGCTTTGGGCGTACCAACTCCAGGCACAACCTCCGAGGGAGCATCACCACCTGTCTCCATGCACGGAGCGGTGTCAGAACCCGCACATGCAGTACGGGGAGAAGAAGGAATCTGCTGTGTCACGGAGGGGGGCGGCAGTTCCTCAACTCCAACTTTCCCCTGCTGAGCAGCTGTAACAACCGCGTCAACAGCATCTAAATTTGCCGGGTTGTCCCAAATCTCGTCGCCGCTGAGTGCACCAGCAGTCGTCGCATCATCCGTACCTGCTGCGCAGGAGGGTCCCACACCGTCAATCATCTGCATAAATTTCCGAGCGCCCAATACAAGCCTATCAAAAGCTTCAGGAGGCCGAGGTAGACCGATATGCTGATCCATGAACTCCATCATGTCCACAAGAGCTAGAGCTAGTGCCTCCGTCTTTTCAGCGTATATCTCTGCCTCAGTCTACAAATTTGTTAAGCAAGAATTCAGCAAAACAAAAACTATCTTAAAAATGCACTAACATAACATTGCCTAAGCACTTGCTAAGAATGCAATAAAAATATAGTACAAGGGCAACTCGCACAGACACTAACATTTAAACGCACAAACGATGGAATAAAAATATATTAACATATATCTGGTGCATATTATATATCTGGTGAATGCAAACCCAATGACATAACATTGCCTATGCACTTGCTAAAAATGCAATAAAAATATAGTACAAGGCCAACTCGCACAGACACTAACATTTAAACGCACAAACGATGGAATAAAAATATATTAACATATATCTGGTGAATGCAAACCCAATGACCATTTATCTAACAAATGCACACGCAATGGAGCTGATACGCACGTACCCATTAATATGCACTAACATAAGATTGTCAATGCATTTGCAAGTAAATGCAAACCGAGTTAACTAACAGGCACGGCGCACAGATGCTACATCTAAATGCAAACCAAATTAATGCAAACCAAATTAACTAACAGGCAAGGAAACTCACACAGACACTAACATTTAAACGCACAAACTAACAAATGCACACGCAATGGAGCTGATACGCACGTACCAATTAATATGC